CCCCAAAACCCCAAAACCCCAAAACCCCAAAACCCCAAAACCCCTTCCTTATGAATAAAATTGAAATTTAAAGGACTGGAAGGAACATGGACTTGGCAGTAAGCGAGTGGAGGTTTTGGGGATAGTACATATCTTTGCGTTAGCAGCTTTGTGGATAAGTTTATAACGGTCGGTAGATGTACATGGGAAGGAAGAAGTTTAAGGTTATGGGAAGAGATAAGGTGGCAAGGGGGAGAAGAACAAGTGGAAAGAGTGGGAAATAAGTTCTGAGCGAAGTCACCTAAAGTTTCTCTCAGAAGTCTTTAAAGGGAAATTGCCAATTATTCCTCTCAGTGATTATTCCAGGTAAGCTTGTAGAATTAGGATGGTATTTTTGAACGTTTCTTATGAAACATAGTTTCCTAGCAAAGGCTGTACACAATAATAACAGGTCTTGGTCGAAGCAGAGAGTCCAGGGAGGAACAAAATTTAACTGGAGATCATTAAAGTGACCTCCAATGTATATTAATGACTTCAGCCGGTCTGATACAAGAGCCAAAAATTTTAAACCTAAGTATGCTTCTAGAATTTATTTATAGACAGGCAGATTCTAAGATAATTGCTAGGAAAATACTGAGTCCGCAGGAGTATTCACATGAGAGTTGAAATTTACAGGATCCTTGCCTATCTCGCAAACTCAAAAATAAGGCTAGCTATTCTTCAAGGTTAAATGCTTCACACAAATTCAAGCGGTGCATCAGAACTGCATGTAAGCAAGACTTAGACCATTTAGCTGGATCACAGTCAGTAAGAACAAAGACAATGTATAATTTCTTGTTGAACCACAAAATTCAGAAGAAACTTGGTATTTTTAAAGAATTTAATAGCATAGATTCTTTGAAAGAAAAGATGAAAAGTAATCAGCCAAAGAAAGTCAGATTTAATATATAGAACCTTGGAAGAGAAACAAAAATAGATATTTTTTCAATTTAGTAGCAAGTAAAAGGGGTTTTGGGGTTTTGGGGTTTTGGGG